ACATTCCATAGACTCTTCAGTAGCAACATGAACGGATCTGTCACATTAGACTTACAGCACATTTTTCCTTTTTGTGTCCCAAGTCAGTATTTGGCACCAGCATTGAAGGAGCAGCTCGTTGCTTGAGCCACACAAGGGTAGCTACATAAGAAAGTAGTTATCACATTGGTTTCTGCTTCTGCTCTGTGACTACTTCCCTATCCTTATAGCAGTTGCTGTTACTTCAGTGTAGATTGTGTTCTCTCATAATGGTCTCTCTGATTCCACCTCCTTGGTAGGTTGTTCTTTGCTCTTCATGAGCTCTAGATTTATATATCTTTACAAGTGACCCGGTGCACAGATTCATGCCCATTGAAAGGAAAGCGTCTGCAGAGTGAACAGGGTCCCTCCGGCAGGTGGGGTCCCTTGGCCTGGCCAGGCCTGTGGGGATCGGGCTGAAACCAGCTCTCCAACATCCCCCGAGGGGTCCTGGAGTGTGAGAGGGCACTCTGCAAAGTTGCTGTCATACAAGGTGTGGAATGCAAATGCAAATGTGCAGTAAACCAGATTGGGGGTCGACAGTGCCCCAGTAACACATAGCCCACGGCTGAAGGTGGAATCGTGAGGCCCTGCAAGGAATCGGGCTCCCACCTCTCTGGTTTCGGGTGCGTCACCTGAGAGCCACCACTGCCAAGTCACTGCAGCTTGGCAGCTCCTGCATTGAGAGGCTGCCCCCTGGTGGTCGTGAGTGTCATAGCGACCAGTCAGACGGAGGGAAGGACACTTAGCATATTAGCCTTTTATATATATACTGGTGCACTCGGGGTTGGGGGGTGGTCCCTCAGCCCAGCCTGTGCCCTCTCGCAGTGTGGAACCTCTCAAGAGATAATGATCTGCTGGCTTAGGCCTACTCCTGGGTGGCAGAGGGCAGGCCCAATCCCTAGGTGCAGCCCCTGTTCAGGCTCAGAGCAGGGCTGATTGGGGAGGTGGGGCGCCGCCCCCTGTTACTCTCAAGGCACGGTCAATGGGGAGGTTGTGGCACCACCCCCTGTCATGCACAGAGCAGGGAAGATCAGGGGGTTGTGGTGCCACCCCTGTTACATACAGAGTCAGCCGATCAGGGGGTTCGGGCACTGCCCCCTATCACGCAGAAAGCAGGGCCCATCAGGGGGGTTGGGGCTCCGTACCCTGTCACGCACCGAGCAGGGCCCATCAGGAG